AAGTTATGTTCATGGCTTTCCCCACCACTCCTCTAGAATGGAACTAAGAGAAGTAGGCAAGGATATCAAGCCGAAGAGTTTCCCAAAAAGATTTAAAAGAGAACATGGGGTACCCATTTGGTACAGGGGCACGGTCGGGACTGAAGTCTTTGATGGCAGCCAAAATTTCTTCCTCAGAGAAAGGTTGTTCTATCCAGCTGGATTGGTCTTGGGGAAAAGGAAGGATGGACAAATCGTCCATGGTGAGTCTAAGCCCAGGCAGAGCAACAAAAAGACGGGTAAAGAACTGGACCGCAGCATGTTCAATGAGCTGGGGTTGATCTATGATCAAATTGTCGACCTTGAGGTGAGTTATAGAGTTTTCTCTTTTATGACAGTTGTCTACCTTATGAAAATAGCGAGTATTGAGAACACTGATCTTCAGCCATTTGACCTTGGCTCTTTGGGCCTAATAGATCTCCTTCTTGTGGAGGATTTGGTGATATTCAAGTATAGCTTTGGATCGGAACTCCAAGTTGTTCAGCATGAGGGTTCTCGTCTCCTCGGTGACGTCCCAATGTCGAATTGATCGAAGAAGGGCCTCCTTATGGCCGTGGAAGTTACCAAGGGTTTGGGAGATCCATAACTTGAGGTGAAATTTGAGAATTTGCAGGTTTTGCTGTAAACGAAAGCTGGCCCATCCAGACACAAGGGGAGAAAAGGATTCCCACCAAGATTTGACCAGGTTGGGGAAATTGGTCTCTTCAAGCCAGACCAGCTAAAAATGAAACGGTTTGGACCCTCTAGAGACGGACTGGGTATCGAGGAGGATCGGATGATGGTTTGAGGTAGGCTTGGGCAAAGCAACAGAGTGGGAACCACAAAAAAAGTTGTCCCAATCCAAAGACATAAGAAATCGATCGATTTTGGAGAGAGAGGGGTTGGAAGAATGGTTAGACCACGTAAAAAGGGCTCCTTCCAGAGAGATGTCAATGAGTTGGTGGCTTGAGATGAAGTCTGAAAAAAGGATCATGGCCGGGTAACAGAAAGGTTGAAGTTCCGTAAATGTGACCATCGAGTGACATTAAAGTCCCCTCCTAAACACCAAATGGAGGGGGAAACTGAAGCCCGGGAGTCAAGTTCAGCCCAAAATGAGTCCCTGCGGTTATCTTGGTTGGGGCCTAGACTGTCGTGCATTTCAATAGTAGGTTGTCTGACAGCCTAGTGAGCGATAGTTACAGAGAAATTGCTGATAATGGAGTTTTGCGAGAGGTAAAGAGTGGGGTCCCAAATAACCCAAAATTCCTCTAGAGGCACATTGAGCATCAAGGGCCACCTAGTCACAAGGTCTGTGGCCCCACAAATGACGAATTTCCATGGAGGGGGGGGGGGGGGGAAAGGCATCTTGATTTCACTAATGGCAAGAAGGGAGGGGGGATGCTTCACGCAAAGTTCACGGACGACCCTTACTTTGTGGGACTGGCCTAAGCCCCTGATATTCCAAATGACAATCTCAAAAGGGCAGGGCAATAGAGGGATTACACCTGGACGAGCGCCTAGGTCTGTTGAAGGCCCCAGGGCACTAGGAGGGGAAGGGGGTCTGAAGCTATCTCCTTTGTCATAATTAATCCCCAACCATGATTCGAAAACTCCTGTTTTCCCTTTAAACTAGCTTTTCCTTTGGATTCCGCCTGCATGAGCTCATCAAGAACCAACTTTGGGGCCATTAAATTTAAAGCACATGACCTGGAGGACTCAGGATACGTCGCCTTGCGCCGAATCAAAAGCCTGGACAAAGGAGGAGTCCACAAAAGAGTACGAACCATCCAAAAAAGAGTCTGAATAGGCTTTCGAGAAGACAGGAGATTCCAATAGCCGAGCTGGGCTATAAAGGAGGAGGGGAGGAGGAGAGGGGTATGTGATGGGGATCCAGATATAGGGCCAGCCAAGCGAGGTTGAGGGAGATAAGGATGGGGAGGGGCGGGCGAGGGGTGCCATAGAGGGGGGGGGGGGAGAGAAAGAAGATGAAGAGGGTGATGGGGGAGGGACAAAATAGGGATCAAAACTTGAAGGGAGGGCAAGAATAGGGGGGAGATTAGAGTAAGATAAAGGGAAAAGGGTTACAAGGGAGGTGGGAGCCGAGAAGAGAGGGGAGAGAAAACCAGAAGAGAAGAAGGAAGAAAAGGGCTTCTGAGAGGTAGATGGGTAGGGGAATAAGATGAGGGCAAGGTAACAAGGAGAAAAGAAAGGAAGGGAAATAGGGAGGGGAAGACGAGGGCTAAGGTAGAGAAAAAGGATGGCATGAAACTGAGAGGGGAGGGATGGGGAGATAAGGGGGCCAAAGGAGGGCTGCCAGAAGAGGGGGGGGGACAACAGGCATAAGCGAGGGGTTGGGATAAGGACCTCTAGGAGAGGACACTAACTGGGTTGCACCAATCAAGGTGTTGGGTGGGGGTGGGGATGGGGATGGGGCCGCAAGCTAAAGAGGCGGCTCAACTTGAAACCTAAAGAAAGTGGCAGAGCAGGTGAGGGGAGGAGAGATGAGCGTTGGTGAGGTGGCACAGACGATGTTGACCCCTTGCAGAGGAGGGAGCCGAGAAGGGTCGCAAGCGGCAGTATTTGGGACTGCACAAACTGGGCGGCCGTCTGACGGTGATCTAGGCACAACTTTTGGAGGTGGGAAAAAGGTGGGGTAGCAAGCAATGATGAAGGAAAGGGGAGTGACTTTCCATGTGGCACAAACCTGGAGGAGGGGGTGAGGTGCTCCACATGACCAATCAGGGGATCGCATGAGGGGGTTGAGGACACACTCGAGACAAATGTTGGGACGAGGAGGGCTGTGTGAGGCGGTGCCAACAGGCCATCTGTCTCCATCGGTGGGGAAGGTGAGACCGAGGAATGGTCAAGGCCATCGACGTGTGGCTGGAAGGGAAGGGCCAATCATTTGCCTTGAAGGGGCTCTCTAGGCCGACGGATTGGGAAGAGGGTGGAAATTTTAAGGAGGTTTAAGAGCACCTAAGGCCCTTCAATGATGAGATCTGCATTGACAACGGGCTTTAGCCGGAAGCTCGCGGGAGATAGTGGTCCAACGTGACTAAAGCTGAGAGGAGCTATTGGCCAAAAACTTTAGACCAGAGGAGGAGGTGGTGGAGTTTAACGACTGGTCAAGAGACCCAGTGAAGACTTGAGACCAAGAGACGGGAACCTGAAAGTAAAATCCATCAATCTCCAACCAAAGTGCAGGGGGGATGAAAAAGGGGAACGGGGTTTAAACCAGTATTTGGATTGAACCCAAGGGGAGGAGATTGGCAGATTTCGAGTGAACGACCATGAACTTTCTACAGCCTTCTCTAATCTTCTGGAAAGTATCGACGTTCCAAGCATGGAGAGGGAGGTGGGAGGCTTTGAGCCAGAACCTGAGAGGTTTGCGAGCACCCCGTTCGCTATTCCATTGCGACAAGGAGAGAGAAGCACCCTTGAAATGTCAGTTATGATTGTTTAAAGCAAAGAGAAGGGAATCTTCTGAGGGGAAAGAGAACAGTATCTCACCTGAGGACAGTGTCTAAGCAGGAAATGTCTAGGGCACTCCAAGAATCCACAACCCAATGTTAGATGCATCTGATGTCGTTGCGATGAGGATGGAACTGACCCACCAAAGAGAACGGTAGCACCTTTTTTATGAAAGAAGTGCGGCTACCGCCCACAGAAATGCAGAAGTGGGGTCCCGAAGGGGAATGGAGGTGGGTGAAGGCAAGGGATGGAAGGAATAGGGGGGATGATGATGGGAACCGCGCGGTGGAGGATGACGTTGCTTGGGAAACTTGGAAGATGGACATAATTCTCATAACTGGGAGGGAAAGTAGGCAGACGAAGGTGAGGAGATTTAGGGGAAGAAGAGGGTAAAAGAGGGAAGGAGGAGGGAGGAAAAGGGGGGGGATGAGGAGAAGGGGAAGAGGGAGGGCGGAGGGGAGCTCCAGAGAACTGAGCCAGTTTTTCTCAGCTCAATCCTATGCCAGTAATGCATTTGAAAGACTCACAATGTTTGCATGGTCAAAAACAATTGTGGCATAGTTCAGTGTGAGAGAGGATGTTAGAGAGTCGTTTTGAGAGCACCTTCTTTTCCCAACGTATCCATTATGGTTCATTTATCATCAAATATGTCTTCAAGACAATTGTAGAGATTGGTATTGTTCGAAGATTTGATCGAACATCTGGTCAAATCTCTATGAGTTGGATGAAGTTTTGGAGGTCCCTGCTATAGTGATCCGTAAGTGTCGTTCCACAATGAGCGAACAGTGCAAGGCATGTGAGAAGGCTAAGCACTTCCAGCATATTAAAGTAGAGAAACCAACAAGATCAGAGTATGTAAGAAGGGGCAAACCTTCATGGTTCCTATGCAGACCACCAATCCCAGCAGGATTGCCTAAGGAGCAGGTGCCGAAGTTTAGTTTGATGAAAGCTGAGGCAGCGGTAGCCAGACATTGAATCTTGTTATCCAGGGAGATGAATTCCATATTAGGTTTTGCCAAATTGCTTCCTTGGATATTCACATGTTCTTTTTCTCTTTTCAAAAATTTATCATACATATACTTACTATGAAAAAGTACCATAAGATAAAATTTAGTAAATGTTATGTCAATCATGTACCAAGGGAAGTAATCTTATAGTGAAAATTTAACAAACGTGGGCATAACTTCAAGATGATAGGGTCTTTATTAGGTCTACCTTAATTAGAAGTATGGAGTACCTGGGTTACTCTTTTCTCACCCGTGGATATCAATTCTGTTATGAATAAAATCAACATTTGCGAAAATAAAGGGGTGACAACAAGGAAGTCATGGAGGCAATATAATTGAGCTTTGCCTTTGTCAAAATACAATAAATTGCAATCATTAAATGATACTGCTGCCGACCACCTACCACGGCAAGAATCTAAATAGCCAGCATTTTAATTAAAACTCGAATACAACTTGAGAAGGATTGAGTCTTGCGATATAACCTACAATAGAAGATTGATTTACCTATTGCAGCCGTTGTAGTCATTTTACCTAGCTAAGGTCTCCGTTTTTTTTTCCCTCCCCTGAAAATATTGTATTTGGCTTTCGTTTCAAATTAAATCAGCATATATTAAATGTGAAAAGGATAATACAGTAATAAGGATGATAAACTTAAGGAGTCGATATTATTATTCAACATAACTAAACATTAATCCCTCATAAAAGCATCTGTCTTATGTCACATACGGCAGAGTCATGTTCCTCAATATGGATGGGTTTCAGAAATTGGGAAATAATAGCATCTTCTGGCCAGAACACCCAATTTTGGGTTCCCTCATCTCAAAATTTGAAAGGGGGAACCAAAAAAGCTCCAAATCGTTCTCTAACACTTAAAAATGGCTTGCTAAATGGGTGATGGATCAAGGATTTTGGAGGATTTTCAGAGCTCCAAATCAAATCACATTTGGAAGAGATTTTTGAGAGAGCTTGAATATTTTTTGGGTTCCCCAAACCTTAAAAATGGGTTAACACCAAATTTGGTGCTCTGGGCAGAACATACCATCATATTCCTTCAGAAAATACAGTAACTAGCTATCTTGATGAATGGAATAGTCAATATGCAACCAAATCACATATATGGAAAAGAAGACAACAGAAAAGAACATGAATTACTTCAGATAAGGCAGAGTCATGTTCTTCAGTAAGGAGGGGTTTCGCATAACAAACTCCCTCCAGTCATCTCTGTTTATTTTACCATCCTTGTCCACATCGGCTTCTAAAAATGTCTGCACGAGGAATATTATTACCAAAAATAATGTTTAGCTTTCAAAATAAACTCAACGAAAACTATGCCACCAGATCTAGGAAGTTGAAACTCAAACATCACCTTATCGATAATGGCTTCTAGAAGTTCATCTGATAAGTTCATGTCAGACTCTGTTAATATGGCAACTACCATTTGCCTAACCTGCAATATGAGTGGGTATCAGACAAAAGCATCTTGATGCCCAAATGCATTACAAAAACATTTCCAAGAAGCAAGATCTCCTTTTTTTGTATCCATAGTTTTCTAATGCATTTCTGAGCGAATGAGGGATGATGAACCAATTCCATGCTCACATCTATTTTAGAGAACTTCTTTTCCAACGACAGATGAATGTCCAATTAAACATAGCGTAATACATCACTGTATGTTAGTATGCATGTTCCAAAATCAACGTGCTTGCACAGACACACTCACAAATCTTTGGAAAGAAATCAAAATTGCCTTCAAAATCCAAAAAATCAAATGCCACGAGAATGGACTCTAGGCAGGGTGCTACAAAGTTACATCTCGAGTTTCATTCCAACCAGGTCCCAACTTTAACAAATAAGAAGAAAATGCCCATATAGACAACACTTTAAGAATGATTTGCAAAATGATTTGATGTTCTGTTAAGAATGCTGCGTAAGGCAAAATAAACAACTAGCAGAAAAGAGAAACAAAATGATTTGCAACAAGCAAAAAGGCTAATATGTGGAAATTAAGTGCTAGTGAGACTGAAATTTCAGCAATCATTCACTGCGATCAATGAAACGCTGTGAATCGAATGGGCTTGTTCTCGAGATTCGAGCAATACCAAACATTCAAACATCGGCATGCATGATTATTATCATATTCTTTTCTATAAACTTCTGGCCAGAGCACAATTTGCTTATTAAATATCCAAATATCGTTCAAATGCTTGAATACTGCAACACCACAGACTTTCAATGGCTGCCCTTATCAGCCTTACTAGAGAATGATCTTCACTTTGTAGATTAGAATAATGAGGAAGGCAAGGCCCAGCTAGCATAACTGAGTTGAAATAATCAAAATATGGATAGAGTATTGCTTAATGAAAAAGGATATATCATATCCTTAAGAAACAATAACTCTTTTTTCATTAGGCTTTTAAAACTTTGGCTAGGAAAGATGGGATAAATCCTGTGGAAATATCATATTATAGCATGATAGGAATACTAATCTCTACTACCTCCATTATGTTTGCAAGCCTCCAGATTAATGATCTCTCTTGTCATGCCTACCTAATTGTATCCCATGTATTAACTTACACAATGGATTCCAGTAAGTTCTGAGAAAGTATGTTTATCCCAATCAGCAGTCTTCTTTCTTCCTTGCTCCCAAGGAGGCCCGCATAAGCAATCAACATCGAGCCTTCTCCATTTCTCACAAGAATCCCCACACCACGTGGAACCAAGATCCTAGAGGATTTTCTTTTCTTTCTTTTTAATCATTTCCCCTAGAGAACTACAATCAAAGTTACACTCAACAATGACATTGTGAGCTTACACCAGCTATTTAGTCTGATATCAAAAATTCACCGTGTGCCACAAACATTTCCTCCCCAACTAAATATATTCTTTGTTGCCCTAAACTGCATCATAAATAATGCAAATAAGATACTAGATGATTTAATCTTCTGTGGGAACACCTCACCAATAGGGGCTCGTTTGATTCTACATAGCAGTTTACATGTGTAAAACAGTCTTCCTAGGAAAATAATTTGTTATGAAGGAGTTATTCAATCCAGTTTTTCCCTATGTTTGGTGCATGTCTAGAATTCCAATGTATCTAGCTTTTTTATGTTTGGCAACATGTTTAGTAAACTGTCTCCAGGGATCTGGAATATAGCAGCTTTTAACTGTTAAATTCAATTGTTGAATATAGGTTATGAACATCTGTCCAATTAAGATGATTTCTTTAAAACAATCAATCTATATTATTTTTGAAATAATGGATGGTTCCGATCATAAGTGTGGTTCACTTTATTAAATTGTACGAGCATAAAGCGTTGGTTGAAAGCCTCCTCAATATCAAAATGCCAGTGCCACTTCCTAGAAAGAGCCAAATGAAAACAAACATGTCTCTAGAGTCGAGACTTCCACTGTCCGCAGATTTGCAAACCTCTTACCTAGTTTCCAAATAAATTTTGTATTCCCCAGATTCCCTTGCCACAATAAGTTCCTTGCAATTCTTTCAAATTTGTCCACCACTTCCCTAGAAATCTGGAGCAAGGACATCAGGCAAAAAAGATGCCACTAAATTGCCTTGATTAGGGGAATTTTATGAGCTAAGGATGAATAATGTGCCAGTGTTCCAAAAATTTCTGCACCAAAAGATCCCATACGCATAAAGACAAAGGAAGGCCTAAATATTTTCCTGGAAGATTCTCCTACTTGCATTCCAGAGTAGATGATAAGAAAGCCAAAAGGTGTACTGACATGCGGATCCTCACAACCAAAACTGTCAAAAGATTCACCTTGTACCAAAGATAATAAAGCTACTAATACTATTTAATTTTGATATGTCAAAACGATAAACAAAAATGACATAAAGAGCTCAAACCCTCTTGTTGCTCACAATTAAATTTTATCATGATATGTTTATAGAAGGAGCGCACTCACTTTATACTTTGGTTTTCATGCTATGTACTAAGTCTTCTTTTAAAAAACTTTCCTATTGAAACTTCAAACCAAAGTATGTCATAATCAGAACAAGCATAACAATCAGTATATAGAAGGGTTGCAAGCCTATCCATTGAATTATCTATTTTCTTTTAAAATTTCAAATGCAGCTCAGATACGTACTTCTTCACGCTCAATATATCCTGTTTGCCTCAAATCATACAACCTATATGCAACTGTAAAGCAATCATAAAGAAAAATATCACGTTAGACAAACAAAAGGTATCTCATATTACCCATGTAGCCCAAAAGAGCTAAAATTTCATGAACCTAGCTTCCTTACAATCAATTTTATCTTCTATTGGTGCATGAGGATGAAATATACTGAGCGAGCGAACAAACTCCCCGAATTCAATGACACCATTCCTCTTTTGATCAAAAAGATCAAACACCTACGCAAAGTAAAAAAAGAATGTCAGGATAAGATGAAAGGTTAGTTGGAAAAAACTGATTGTGCAAACATTTATATCTCAATTAAGAAAAAAATAGATCTGCATAAAATAGCTTCCGAGTATTCAAATAATGATGGAAATATTCTGTCTACACTTCATAACTAATAAATATTTTAAACAGAAACATTATAGTTCATTACAATTACTATCGGTAGTTGGGAATTGCATACTCTTTAAGAATATAGTCTGAGGATCTATGGAATTCATTCATCTGCCAAAATAATCAATTTGTTTACCAAAGTATCAGCATAAAAATTTATCCCTGGAACATACAATTATTACAACGATTCTGAAACTAAAACATAATTTTTTACAGCTGCTATCAATAGAAGACTTACACATTAGCGACTGTATACTTTTCATGAGATGAGCTTAATCGTTAATGATCTATATGATTAATTCAACTGCAAAAAGCGATCATTTTTTCTGCCAAATTAACAAATAGAAAATTACCCCTGGAACATACACTAAAGGTTGGTAAGAAGTTATGCTCTTATGGTTATTCTTTGAGTGACCAAGAGAGTATTGTCATTCTCCTCAAACCTCTTCCTGCATGCATTATCAAATTCCTTGGCCTAAGATCTCAATCACTCACTTCTTACATCTTTCATTTGCTATTCTCTTTTCTTTTCTTTTTTTTGTGGATATTTCCATTAGATATTCCCAGTTGCAGGTGACTGTGGCAGCCTGTAGTTACCAACTCCTGGACCCAATTCTCACCAATTACAGCATATACTCTTTCTTGTATTTTTCCTTTCGCCCCCTTTGGTTGCATATTCATTGTCTGCCTCTTTTTATTTATTTAATAAAGGACTTTCTCATTTTTTACTGTTCTTCATGCTTCTCCCCCATCAATGTCCATTTAGCATTCAGCTGCATTGTTCCCACTTTCCTTCTGCATTTGACCACAAAAGGGTAGCTCTAAAATGGCATAAGATGGTAGCTATCATCCATCCAAAAGGTTTTTTAATTTTCTCTTTTCAACATTGAAAGATTCAGAGGGAAGATCAAATCTACTGCTTTGCATGTGAGAAGTAATATGTTAAATCAACAATATACAAGCAGTAAAGCGGTCTAAACCCCTAGTCCATGGGCTTGGGAGCACTATCCAATACGAGGTAGTATTAGGTTTTATTATCCCATAAAATAAAATTCAATAAAATCTCCTGTAAACAAAGGTTGAATCAAACACAAAGCCTGAAATTTAATTTCAGTTAACCTAATAGAGGCTAATTCTTGTTTTGAAAAGCTTTGGGGGATTGAAAGCTCGGGATTTGGAGGCATGAGAAGAACTCACTTTCTTCGAAGTGATACAGGCCACGAACTCGGAAGAGTACAAGATGCACTTCGGTCCTTGCGAGTTCACTCACAAGAACAAATGGGCCGACTAAAATTAGAAAGAACTTCGAGTTGCACTCTCGAAAATCTTTAAAATCACAATATTTCCGATCTTGATATCAAATTGATAGCGGTCAATGGACCTCCATTTGTTGACATAGTAATAAAGTTCAATGGACCACAAAAAAAAAAAAAAAAATTATGGAAGTCCTGAAATCTATTTTCTTAAGTCATGGCTTCCCCCTATTACTTGCCAATTGCAACGTCTGTTCTCCATCATGTTTTTCCTTCTTCTTAAGGAAAACCCCCTGTTGCCCACTTCTACTATAACCTTCATAAATAAGATAAAATCATTAATCTTCACCTCATGGATGTGGGGGAAAGGGAGTATAAAAATGAGTATTAAAAAATAAAATTTTAATATGAGGATAGCCATGTCAAAAAGGCGTTGGCTTAATCCTCTTCCCCCTTCCCAAATAGAACAAATGATAAATCACATAAAGAAAAAACCAAATATTGTATGTAAAAATACAAGGAAGAGCATGGCCCACAACAAAGGATGAGGCGAGGGAGCTATTTGACTGCGGTAGAGATAAGTATGTGAAAAGCACCATAGTGAAAACATTAAATGAAGAAGGCAAGATGGTGGTCCATAAAGACCACAAAAACAAAGAGGATAATCAGAGTAAATACATAGATAAAGTAATTTTTTTCTAATAGATAAAGTTTTAATAAATAAAATAAGCTAAATTAACAATCCCTACCTGTTTCAAAACAACTTCATTTGAGAATGTAACAAACAGAGTAAGATCAGGAGGAAAAAATGCAAAAGTGAAGGTTTCCTATAGATTTGACCTCCACATAGTTCTATACAAAAACAGAGGACCATCAGAGTAAATAATTAGATAAAGTAAGTTTTAATAAATAAAATAAGTTAAAATAACAATCCCTAGCTGGTTCAAAACAACTTTATTAGAGAATGGAACAAACTAAGCAAGATTAGGAGAGAAAATGCAAAAATGAAGGTGTCTTATAGATTTGACCTCCACATAGTTCTATACAAAACGTTTACCAGGACGGTGAGTAGGGGAGCTATTTGACCGCACAAGAGATACCGAAAACAATATTGTGGTGAAGAAAAGAACGTGGTGAAAAACACCGTGGAAAAAACATTAAATGAAGATGGTAAGATGGTGGTGCATCAGGACCGCAAAAACAAAGAGGACCATCAGAGTAAATAAATAAATAAAGTAAGTCTTAATAAATAAAATAAGCTAAATTAGCAATCCCTACTTGTTTCAAAACAACTTATTCGAACATGGAAGAAACTGAGTAAGATCATGAGAGAAAATTCAAAAGTGAAGGTGTCAAGTAGATTTCACCTCCACATAGTTCTATACAGAACGTTTACCAGGACAGTGAGTGGATGAGCCTTGAACTATGTCCATTATTGATAAACCTCTAACATACAACACTTTCCTCAAAAGGTTGTGATTTTCTAAAAGGTTTGCGCATTAAAGACCCTGCATGATTCATGGTATTCATGAGGCGCTCTAAGGAATGCCAATTCCCATGGGAAGCGGCCTCCACTTCCACACTAATAGAGTTCAATTCATGGAGGATGTTTTGCAGTATAACATCCCAGCCTAGACCTTTTCATCATCTAAGCAAATGGAATAATTAAGAGTAAAGCTCAACCTCTCCATTCATTATAATTAATTATACCATACAGCCATGGATGGGGTAGAAATTTTTAAATTTTCACTAAAATATAGCTTGGTACAAATAGCATCAGACGTCACATAAGTCACTTGTTTTTCCCTTAGAACCTTAGTCTTCGAATCTCATTATCCTTAGATAGGGTTCCCATTACTATGTGGCATAATAAAAATGGGCTTCAATCCCATCCCTCTAGCTGTCTTTCAGACTTGGTCCTCTACAAGGCCTTTTGTAAGTGGATCTGCCAAGTCCTAGTAGGCACTTATTGGGATTTATGGCCTTTAAAGGCCATGAGCACATGTATATATAACAAATGATAGTGAATTGTGCACTTTAGTGAGAATGTATGATGTTTCATTGACCTAGGTTGGGAAATCTATAGTTGGTTCATATCGAAAACCCTTTCCCCTAAGCATAGACATTAGCATTGAGGGTCTATAGAGGGTCATCCCTTGTTGAGGCAGGAGAGATGTCCAGGGTTGTTCTTTACAAACCAAGAGAGCTTCATGCTCTCTTGTGTGCGAATGTAACTTGTGAGAGTGAGGGCTCAACAAAACATCCACACAAAATGTACATATGACAGCAGCATTTTGGGGAAGCAACCTTATAAAGGGACATTACGAGAGGCCCCTTGCATTATAGTGATATGTGCATCCGACTTGCTCTTAGAGATGGGAAATCTATAATCCTCATGTTAGGACTATCGTTCCATTGTTTATTAACGAGCTTTGACGGGCCAATCATGAGCCTCTGCATATGATTCTGGGTCATGAATTCTGTTAGGTTGGCTTGAGAAGACAAAAGAGGATCATGGATCTTGGCATGCGTGGAGTACCCTGACTACTCACTTATTTTATACCTACTGGCACCAATCCATTTCTAAACGTAGTTTTATGCGTTTTCATTTTTTTTAAGAACTACAAAAACATTATTTTCAACTAAATATATGATTATGTGCTTTTTGGATACGATTTAGAATTTTAAATTTGATTTATATGGTTAAAAACCCCTAAAGGTTATTTCCAAAAAATTTCTACAAAAACAATTATGCTAAAACTTGGTGAGACCCACATGGGGAGCCTATGGGCCCGACTACCAGACGTGTAGGGTCCACTTAGTCTGGGATGTGACCCTCATGGGCCACATGCCCCACATAGAGGGACGCCCCATGTTTCCCATGATTTTGGAAAAATTTGTGTTGAAAAAATTATTTTGAGTTAGTTGGAAATATCTTGAGATAATCTTTGTGAAAATCATTTTGTAAGATATTTATGGGATCTATATTATTTTGACGAAGTTTCATTTTTTATTTTAAGTCCTAATTATCTCTTTGTGGGAGAAAAGAAATTCTAAATAATTAAAGAGATATGTTAGATTGGTCAAAAGTCTAGATAAATTAAAAGTGGATAATGGGTCAAAATATCAAAGGATAAGGTTCATAAAAATCCTACCTAAATCATGATGGTTGATTTCAAGGATAGATGGCTCACATTATTTCTTTCTCATCTCACATATTACCTAAATTTGTTTAGATTATGCTGAATTCTAATCTGATTGGAACACCCTAGGGCCCTTGAGGCTTATATAAGAAGGGGGATCCCCCTCATTCTCAACACAGAACAACCCTCTCTCTCTCTTCTTCTCTCTTTCTGCATCTGGCTCTGTCCTCTCTAGGTGGCACCATAGTTATTAGGATCTTCTAAGGAGGGAGCCGCTCCTGCTTCGAAAGCTCGACTCTGCACTTCAAGACACAAGATCTAGATTTCAGGCAATTCCTTCATATATAGAATCTCAATCCGGGAAATACGGAACTCGATCCCCTATTAATGGGATCCAGATCCCTATGCCAAAAATCATGGTTCCATAAATACACAGAACCGCGA